CTTTCATTATTTGGCTATTAAACTCTTGATCTTGGTCTTTCTTGACTTTAGACTTTAATGTTTGATTTCGATCTTGACCTTCTTCATGAGCACGATTTAATAGTCTTGATTTTGATCTTTTAAGCTCTCGTCTCGAATGATTTGACTGAATGCTTAACTTTGACCAATTGTTAGAAACAATATTAATCTTATTTGTTATAATCAAAACATTGAGGATGAAATCAACCATAAGTTAACAATATGTCTAGACATGTGAGTCTAAGATATGATTACATAAGGAAATTAATTAAGAGGAATAATTTTCCTAAATCATGTAATGTCAATCGAGAATTTGACAGATACTTTATCTAAATCTCTAAATAGAGATATCTACTTTGAGTAGGATATAGTTGAAACTCTTAAACCAAAAGGTCCACCAAAGATGGCAACCCCACATGTCATTACTCAAAAGGTAATCCACGGGTTCAAAGGGTAACAACAAGTCATTTGATATGTGGATAGTTTCAACATTATAAAATCCGCAATAACATTATCCTAGTTATTATAATGTTAGTTGTTACTAAAGTGTGGGATGAATTTTAAACTCTTAATGAAGTTTTTTACTAAGTACAAGTATCTTTAAAAGTAACAAAGATATTGGAAGAATTTCATCTAAATAAATCTCGAGGTGGTGTCGCCTCAATAGAGAGTTAGAGTTTCTCTCTTAAAAGTTTGTTGAAAAGGATGAGCGCAAGACCATATTAGCGCTAAGCAAGTTAAGGAACTCGAGAACACGTGATACTCGTGCGTGTGTTCTAACTGGTATTGTCATATGGAATAGCTGGTTCAAAGCTTCATGCTACCTTTGATTCTGACATTACTTTGTTTGAATTACACTATGGTTAAATTCAAATCAAAAGATATATAATTTTTATGCATAAGTATTGTATATCTTTGAATATGAGATTTTATTGAATTTTGAACAAGTGGAGAATTGTTGATATTGTTGTTCAAAACAATAAAAATGAGACTTGGAATGAGAAATGGATCTAATGGCCGTATAAGTGAACCATGTGGCTGCATGGGTTTGTACCATGCGGACACATGGCCATATACCGAGACATTTTGTCCCGGTATGCCGCATGGTACAAATCTTCGACCCTTTTTTTAGCCATTTTTATTCGTTGTGATTTTGAATTTGGTGTCTTTTGAAGATATTTTGGCACCATTTCGTACACATTTTCTGAGGGCTATATAATATATATAGCGATCCTATTTCTTGTAAAGATGTTGAAAAAACATAACAAGTATAAGATTCATTCCAAAATGAAAAGAAACAACTTATTTCTTCTTC